GAAGGTGCCCCCTGTGATCCAATCCCCACCTCTACACAATATGTCTGTGTAACAAACATGCATGTGTACCCGCTGAGTCTAAAAAAAAAAAAGGAAAAATACAAAGTGATAAAAACAAAAATATACTAAGTAGGGAGGCTGAAGGAAACTCTGCTTAGGGTGAGTTCTATAAGAATGTTAAGAAATAGCTTTGCTGGTTGTAATCTTCCAGGGATTGGCCTGCTGGTCAATATTTTGGAATGTCGGTGAGACATTCTGGCTGAGAGTCTTCCTCATGTAACCGGAGAGGATAATGTGGGAGAGTGGAGCGTGTATTTTGAGCAAGGGCTTGGTTCAAAGCACCAGTTGCTCTTTACCAGATAAGCCTCAATCAGCCTTTGTCAGAGCCCAATCTGCTTGTGAATTTGTCTGGAATCCATTCTCAGCAGCACCATCTGTTTGCGATTGTCTCGCCATCTGACCATTTACCCTTTGTCAACCTCCTTCTTCCGGGCACCTCTACCGCCAGTTGGAATGCACCCATTGTCCAACCTAAATAAACTGAGTCTGAGGAGAGACAGGGCAGGAGAGAGGGGAGGAGGAGGAAGACATTCCAACGTGCTAGCGTTCTTGGCCAAGATGTGTCTGGGGAGGGCCCACCCAGCCTTCACACAGAACCTGGAGAGAGAGCATGTGGCCCAACCAGAGCCATATTGTGCCCCAGGCAGTCTGATGGCTCCACAAATAATATTGATGCCTTTTGTTTGGAAACTCTTTGTGGAGGCTTCCCATTTCCCAACGAACCACGCTTGCTGCTGGGCTTCTCCCAAGCCACTTTGCCTTTTGCACAGTCCCGTGGCCAACTGTGCAGGCAGATGAGGGCCCCTGAATGCTAATGAAGGGACCGGCTGGCATTCCTGAGGCACGCCCCGGCCCTGGGAACCCCGCCTTTGTTGCTAAGGAGCATTGGAACTGTAGCTGAAAGGCTCTTACAAGAGAGGGGAGGGAGGAGAGGAGAGAAGAAAGGCCAGCGTTTGTTTTCAGAGCTTCACAGTTCTCCAGCCAGCTCTGAAGCTGTCCAATTTCTGATCCCAATTAGAATATCAAGCCCCCTGTTATTGTTTCTCTTAATGATCTTGGGAAATTTCTCCAAAGAGTCAGCGAGCACTTAGCAAACTCTTTGGACCGCGCCATCACTACGGTTGTGCTTCTGGTAGTGTGAATGTACCACACCAAAGAGACGTGAAAACCCCCTTTATTCCAGTCCCTAGAAGGCAGTGAGGAAGCTGGAGAATAAGAAGAGGGTAGAAAGCTGCTGGGTGGGTAAAATGTTTATGTGGGGGCTTCATTCGGCAGACATTTGCCAGGTGCCTACTAGGCGGTGCATCTGGACTCTGCATTGGATACAAAGACAGGAAGATCTTGGCCCCAGCTTGCAGTTACCATCAGACTTGCTGGGGAGACAGAACACACATACTAAAGAGAATCCTAGGGGCTATTTGCTCTAACTGTGACCTGCACTGCATTGTTGAACTTGGAGTTATATACGACTGTGTTCTAACCCTAGTTCATTCACTCACTAGCTGTAAGCCTTTAGGCAAGTACATATATTACCTTAAGCCTCAGTTTCTCATCTGTACAATGGGCATAGTAATGGTGACCTCACTGGTTTACTGTGAGGAGTAAGTTCAGGCAAGGGAATGATGAACAGGGATGTGGAAGGCATACACTCTGCCCTCCAGGACCACACAGTCCGTGAGCAATCTGTGGGCTTGGAAGATGTCTGCACCTGGAAAAGGCATTCAACAGTTTGGCCCATTGGATGGGGTAAAATGAAATACGGTATAAGACTGAAATAAGCTAGTTTCCCCTTATGGAGCGTGTCTATGTGCCAGGCATAGTGCTTGGCAATTTACACGCATTATTTCATTTAATATGAATGATGCTTACAAGTAGGTAGTGAATTTTCCCGGGTCACACAGTTGCCATGGAGTCTTCCCAGCTGGTGACATTCTGCCTCTGTCATTCTGTGCTCTTTCCATCTTTAAAGGGTGAAACTTTCGGAGTGCTGGGGCAGACCCAGTTAAAACCATGACTCCCTAGAGCATACTGGAGGTTAACCAGTTCACGGCCTGCAGACACCCATTTAGAGAGGTTCTGTTGGAGGAAGCTGGCAAAGACCACAGATACCAGACTTTCCCTATTTGGTGTTTATTAGAAGTTCACAAGGACAGAGCCGTGGGGAGTGTACAAAATGCCACTGCTCTGAGAAAAAAGAGAGAAAAGTAACAGATTTTCTATAAGCAAGGCATGCAGTTCCAGCATAGAGATCATAGTGATATTTTGAGGTATAATGACTTCCTAGCATTTTCCTCTTTGTCTGTCCATGGCTTGCCTGGCAGCCAAGCCTCATTTACCCTCTGCTGTCACATTGTCACCTTGATATCTGAGCTTTCCTCTGTGACTTTGGTTGAATTTTGTTCTCTTACTGTTCACTCAGAGAAAAACTAATGAGTATTTACTTTAGCAATGTGCAAGTCTTGCAAATGAACACGCGCGCGCGCGCGCGCACACACACACACACACACACACACACACACTGACAAAGATTCTCTCCTTGACCAGACACTCACTAATCAGACCTCTCTGAGCTCTTTTTCAATTAGGCCCTGTTTTGGGGCATGTCTTCAAAAGCCCAATTTTAGCAAGGATCCTACCAAGTCAGTTTAGCCAGAAACCCCTACCTTTATTCTCTGATCAAATTCCCCCAAGTGACTTCTGGTCAACCCCGACTTGCCTTCAGCAAGAATCCTGTTAGACAGGGCTAGCCAGAATTCCCGCCTTACCTCTGATGCTTCTTAGTAATTTTCCATCTATCAACACCCCTCCCCACTGATCCTTGTCTATAAATTCCCACTTTTCCTTGTTCTATTCAGAGTTGAGCCCCATATTTCCCCCCTGCTGCAAAACTCCATTGCAGTGGTCCCTGTAACTATTGTGATAGTTCTGAATAAAGTCGGCCTTGCCATTTTAACAAGAGTCAAAATAATTTTTTTCTTTAAAACACACACACACACACACACACACACACACACACACACACCACATAACACATCCCAGGATAAAGTAGCAAAGAATTCCAGACAGGAGATGATTTAAGAGCAACTGTCACTTGACTCTGGAAGGCAGATACATTTAAAAATTTGTTCTTGCTGTAGTAGTGGCCTGATTTCCCCATACAGACCATTGTCCAAACATTTTTTGAAGCTTTCTGAATTGTTCAGCTAAGAGAAGGGACACAAACAAAAAAGTACATCTCTACTACATGCAAGAAACTGTCCAAATGGCATTACTTTCAGTGTCTGTAGCCCTCCTGCAAACAGGTACAAATATTCCTGTTTTATAGAAGAAGAAGCTGAAGGAACTTGTCAAGGCTACCTCCCTACTGAGTGTACGAGTTGGATTTTGGCTGTTTTTAAAGTCTATTCTTTTTCTACCCTTTGTGGAAATATGGGTAGTAGTAGGGTGACTGTGGATCCAGTTCGGCCAGAGTTACCTTATGTATAGAAGTATTCATTCAATCAATACTGTAGGAGTACAGGTTGTGTCTGACTTATAGTCACACAGTTCTGAGGGTGTCTTTCATGCTGCATCTATGGAAATGGAGTCTCTGCCATTTGCATAACTTAGTGGCACTGAAGCTGCCTGTCAGGAACTATACTAGATGTCAGACATTAATAATTGGGATGAATAAATTCATTGCAGTTCAAGACCTTATGATTTAGTCTAACAACCCCAACTTCAGATTTAGTGTCTTCCTTTACCCCAACTGCCTCTCCAACCCATGTACCCATGGAGGTGAAGGGTATACTGGGCCTTCTTAGGTCTCATTTGACCAGTGCTTCCACTATCTCTCGGCAACAACCCAAAAGCTTCCTTACCCTTCACATCTGAGTCAATTTACAGTGAAATGGTAAAAAATCTGTCTTATTGAGTTGTCTGAGTTGGACAAAACAAAAAAATCTCAAGTTTCTCAAACACAGTAGTTGCTCAATGCATATTAAATTGTTTGACCTAATATTCCTAAAGTCCCTTATTTGGAATTTTGGTGGAATGAGAAAACAATGTTTACCTACCACCCCAAAAGGCAACTAGAAGGTCAAGGGTTTTAGAAAGACAGGGAGATAGTCAGTGTGCCTCAAGAGACTTTTTTTTGGACAAAAATTAAAGTTGCTCAGACTAGAAGACACTTAGAGACCATTTATTTTAGTGGATCCCACTGATCTTGTTCTTGAGGTCTTGTTCATAAGATGTCATGAAACACTCATGAATCAAAAGGAATGCTCAGAGGCCTTTTTGTTTGATTTTCCCCTTGATTTAACTTGCTTATCCTGTCTCCCACACTGATTTGAAAATCAATATCCTGGTCCACCAGTGTTAGTGATGGTGCTGGGGACACCTTTTCTCTGAAGCCTCCAGCCAGTGTTCCTTCAATAAGCTCATGCTATCTGTGAGTTGTGATGTGTGTGTAACTGTGTGATATGTGGGAAATGCAAAGTCAACGGGGATATTAAGGACAGAAGAACCATGGAGACTGGTGGAAAGTTTCACCGGTTTTCCTGTCCAGAGAGAGTGGAGGGTGTTATCTATTCCCCCAAATCTTTTGTTTTAGGAATCCTTCCTCAAAACATCTATCCAAGACGCTTGGAAAATATCCCTGGAGACTGTGTAACTTTGTCTAATTATGCACTATGGAAAATATTAGTCTCGTTTAGAAAACTTCACTTGAGATTGTTCTTCTACTGCTTAAGATCACAATAGTACATTGTTAATACTTTAATTATTCTTACAACATGGAAATGCTTTTCAGAAGGATAACTAGGGGAAGGGATGATTTACCTCTCCAAATATGATATATGTAGCATGTTTTATTTTACTCTAAATACATCTAGCATATTTTATTCTATGGAATTGTGGGGCTTGCAAAAACACAGTTTGATTAATAATGTAGCAAACATGTATTATTAATAATAAGCTTTATTAGAATAGAAGGAGATTTTGAGTAACTAGGTTCTTGCCACATCAGAAGAGAAAACCTGATTTTCTCTGATCACTTTGAGCTACTTCTGAGCAAGCATCATAGCCAGAAATCGCATCCAAAGAGAAAGCATCCACAATAGGTGCATCAGCCTCAACTCTGACAATGCCTCCACCACTACACATGGGCTGGGGAGAAACACGTGTCTGGGTAAAAAGGGAGATAAGGGAAACATCTGTTCTCACAATATGGGCTTGTTATCATAGCTCCTTTAAGTACCGCAGTGCTGGCTCCAACAGCATATTTTCTCCTGAACGGAATCTGCGCAAGGCCTGGTCGATTTTCCGAGGGCTCAGGGACAGGTTGTAAATGAGATTGTAGTTGTGAATGAGGCGTCTGGCTCGTTCCTTCTCCAGGACTCCTGTGATTGGATTGGGTGGATGGAAGGTTTTTTAAGAGAGGAAGGGGAAAATAGAGAAACTATATGCAGTGTTAGCTTGAATAACTTCCAGGTAAAGACTAAATGCTAATACGTTGCAACTTTAAGCTTCTTAAACATCAAGTCACCCCCCCCCCTTAAAAAATTCTTATAGTCCTGGGCATGCATCATAAGTTTCAGGAGGAATTTGAGGGTGATTTCAGGAGAGAGAGAAGGAGATGGAGTCCAGTAAAATCCATAGATAAACTCTAAAGCAATTTAAGCTTGTTCTTTATAGCTGTAAAAACTTTTAAGGCCAATTTTTGAAACAGCTGGGTGCCTCCTAGAAGTAATTCCTAATTGTTCTGATTTCTTTTTATCTTGTTGAAGTATCCAAGCATGTTCCTAAACATGCAGGAGGGTTAAACAGCTTATTTTTTAGTGCATTTCTAGAAATGCACTTATAGATGTTCCCTGGTGTCCACAGGGACTTGTTCCAGGACATCTCCCCTCCCCCCACCGAAATAAAAATCTTCAGATGCTCAAGCCCCTTATATAAAATGGCATAGTATTTGCAAATAGCCTATGTCCATCCTCCCATATACCTTAAATCAGTTCTAGATATCTTATAATACCTAATACAATATAAATGTAATATAAATAGTTGTTATACAGTAGTGTTCTTTTATTTGTATTTGTGTTTGTAATTTTTTTTTTTTGGAGTTGGAGTCTTACTCTGTCATCCAGGCTGGAGTACAGTGGCACACTCACAGCTACCCCAGCGTCGACCTGCTGGGTTCTGGCAATCCTTCCATCTCAGCCTTCCAAGTAGCTGGAACTATAGGTGTGTGCTACCACGCTCGGCTATTTTTTTTTTTTTTAATTTATTGTAGAGATGAGGTCTCGCCAAGTTGCCTGGGCTGCTCTCGAACCTGCGGGCTCAGGCAATTCACTCACCTTGGCCTCCCGAAGTGCTGGGATTATAGACTGAGCCACCAAACCTGGTCTATGTGTATTTTTTAATTGTACTATTATTTTTTATTTTTATTTTTTTCAAATATTTTTGATCTGCAGTTGGTTGAAATCTGCAGATATGGAATGTGCAGGTACAGAGGGGTAGACTGTTCTGTGTCTCTCTCCAGCTTGCTGTGTGATCACAGGTAAATCATCTAACTTCTTAAGGCTTAGAGTCTGAGTCTGTGTAACAGAAATGGTGATGTATTAGGTTGATGCATAAGTTCATAGAGTTTGTTTTTGGCACGGCAACACTGTCACTTTGGGAGTTTATTGTTTTCCACTTGTCATTTGGAGTGACAATGTGCTCATGAATATACCTTGCATTTTGCAGATTGAAGAAAGTTAGCGCTACTTGTGGGTTAAAGAAGATGGAGTGTCATGTGGAATAAAATGAATACGTCTGACATATTCTTCTGTTTGAGTTTAACAGAGGAGAAAAGGCAGCAGAGGTGTCTTGAAACCTTTGTGCCATGGATGGGGAGAATGCCATTGGGTAAAGCACAGCAAGAAAATGGTTTTGTTGTTTCAAAGAGGGCCACTTTGACCTGAGTGATTCTCCACGTTCGGGAAGACCATCAGGCTTTGATGAAAACTGCTTTAGTCCATAATGATCCACATCAGTCAACTGAAGAATCAGCAAATGTGATAAACTGTGATCAGTCGACCATAATTCAACATTAACATTCCATGGGCAAGTAAAAACGCTATGGACTTATGCATAAATCCAATATATGATCACAGAATAAGCTCTGGTGCCCACATGCTATTGCCAGTGTGCTTTCTGAGTTAAGATTGGGTAGATTTCAGTAGTTGCTGAGAAGAGTTTAAGTGTAGATCATGGCATCACCAAAGATCAATAACTCATTAATAAGCCCCTAGTTGTGACCTTATATGTATCAGATACTGTGTTTTGAATATAGAAGATTTAGAGAATTGATCTGCTACCTCTGGAAGTTCCCTTACCATTGGAGAGATAAGTTATGCAGAAAATCAACTATAGTGCAAATAATAACCATAATGACTGACATTTATATGTAAAATTTACTATGGTCCAGGCACTGCTCCAAGCAGTTTACCAATATAAACTCATTTAACCCTTACAACAACCCATTTCATACAGAGGGAGAAACTGAGACCTAGAGATGGTAAGTCTCTTGGTTGTTCAAGGTTAACCACAACACTATATTATGGAATGAAGGGGAATCACAGTGGTATTTTCTGTCTTCTAAGCCTCAACATTGGTTGACAATTCCCAGAGTCAAACAGAAGTCCACTGACTGAAATTTGTATCTGTCCAATTTACTCTGTCATTAGGGGATGCCCAGAACAGCTGTATGAAATAAGCCTTACAATCCATCTTGGTATTGGCAAGTCTGTCTTTTCCAACCAGAATGAAAATCAGAAATATTATGAACTTCTTTAAAATCTACTTCATTTTACAATTTGCAAAGCATTTGCAACTATCTTATCTCATTTAATTCTTTCTCAAATCTAGGAGGTATGTATTATTATTATCAGCCTTATTTTATAGATAAGGAAACAGACTCAGAGAATGTAAGTGACTGCTCTTAGGGATCAGCAAATGGTGGAGTCTGGACTTGAATCTAAACCTTTTGATTAAAAAAACAAAACAAAAACAAAATCATCAAAACCCCATGTTCTTTCTAGTAGGTCTGAGAGACTTGGTGTAGTGCAAAGTCAAATAGAATTGGGTTTGAATTATGGCTTAACTTCCTACTGGCTATGATCTTATCACTTTGAGCTTAGCTTTCTCCTCTGTAAATAAGGATGCTAATCCCTTCAGCATGTGGTTGATGTGATGATTTAGTGATGCAGTGTATGAGAAGTCCAGGCCCATGCAGAGAATGTCCTTTAAGGCTCTCCTTGCATTCTGAACTTTAAAATATTTTCTATCTAGCTGGGAAAATTCCAAATGCAACATTCCCCCAGACATTTATCTCAACCACCCTTTTTTTCTTTAGAAAACATGACCAGTTATTCATAGCCATTCCTTATCCCTTTGCTTCAAGGCTATTTTCTTGACAACCCCCATTAGAGAATAAGCACAGTAGGTTCCCAGAAGCACTGATCTGATGATGGATGGTCTGCCCTCATCCTGGATGAAGAACACCCTGGCCTACATATTTCCTTGCACATAATAAAGAACAGTGATTCATCCGTGGGCATCTAGAATGGGGCTGTGGTGGTCTGCTAAATACTGTAGCTAATCAACCAACAAAGTGACCTCAGTTAATCCTCTTTCCTCATTAAAAACAGTTGTAGATGTTCCCAGATCTGGCTGACACATTCCTTGGCTGTTGAGGCACTAACAAATTTCATAGAAACAGAGAAAACAGGCATAAATAGTGAAGAGGACATGAGAAAGGCATTTCAAATCTGTCAGAACCAGCCTCCAAAATCAACAAACCCCGTTTTTCCTCAGAATGGTTCAGAAGTATGAGAAAGGTCTTTGGAGACTCTCTTAGCAACTAAGTTTATGATCCATCATCCATCATCACAACTCAGCATTTGTTTCTGTAGAAGTGTCTTTTCATTTTTTTTGATTTTGTTTTGTTTTTGTTTGTAACCCCATCACCACTCCCATAGTCCTGGTATGAATACCTAGACTCAGGGTTATTTCAACAACCTTTCAATCTCTTTTTCCCCAGTATCCTCCTTAAATAATCAATCTCAGCTTTCATTATGTTCTCCTCTGGAAACTGGGTACAGAATGAAGCCTCATTCTAGCCCTCAGGACTCACAGTAGGGTCTCAACTTTGCTATATATCCCACATGAACTTCTAGTCACATCTTGCTCAGAATCTTTGCCATCATGTTCATTCTCACCTTCCAACATTTGAAGAAGATGGTTTTGACTCAGAATGGCCTATCCAACAGTCCAAAGTCTACCTTGCCTCAAGTCTCAGCTCAAGCTTGTTGGAGCTCTCCCTGGATAGCCCAGCTCACATTAGGTGGAGAGCTTCTTTTTCGTCTCTCTTTTCTTTGGACTCTTTAACTTTCATATGTGCCTTCAATTATAATACTTTATACTATCTGTTAATTAAAAAAAAAAAATTGGCATTGAACGATTGCCAGTCTCTTTGTCTTACCTAAAAGTAAACTTGTTGAGACCAGAGAGCATGTCTCATCCTTTCTGGTTTTTCTTCTTGGTCTAGCCTCTAATACTGGACTCATAACATTTTAATAAATAACCTCATAATTCAACAAGATGATTCTTTATTTTAAACTTTTCAGATTTTTTTCTCTGATATAATTTTTAAAAGTCCTTGGATTATGTATGGAAGTTATATTCATGTGATCCAGAATTAGGTTGCTTTGGAAATTCGAAACAAAAAATACAAAGAGAATTAAAAGACACATTGCTATGGCTATATGATTAATTCTAGAGAGTACTAATGTGTACACTTACTTCACGTCAGTAAGTACGGCAAGTTTGGTACATGTGCTTCTTCTGTATCGGCTCCCTCTTTTCCATTCTCCAGTGTCAGACCTGGTACAAGACTTCATTCTCGCTCTCCTCTCTGCTTTCCCTTATTTCACTTTCTCCTTTCTTCTGCACATAGTCATCAAGGGTCTTTCTGATGTGCAGCTTTCTTATACCTCTCCTCTGCTTAGAAACTTGTGGTGCCCTCATCGTCTTTGAATAAAGTCCAGTTTCCTTGGTTCAGCATTTAACACCTTTTGATATCTGGCCCTATTCTCTAGTTCCACCTTTATCATTTGATATTATTTTAAGAGTCCCACACATTCAATCCAAACTGAGCTTCTTACATTGAGCTTCACACATAGAATTTTTCCCTTTACCAGAAAAGGTTCTCTATTCCATTCCTTTGTAACTACACTGCCCTTTATGTTTGATGATCAGTTAACATCAACACAGCCTTCCCTGATCACTCCACCAGAAAGAAATTATCCTTTAATTGAATGCCCACATAGCATACTCTAACAGCATTTATCACCTTCTGTCTTGAATTTAGTTATTTATGCAAATGATTCATTTATTTGTTCCCCAATAAAGCTGCGGGATAGACTTGTGCAAGTTGCCAGACATAAGAAAGGAATGTAATCTACTCCTGGGATAGTAATAAGCCCCCAAATAAAAATATATAATTTTATCAAATATGATAATGGATGTTAAAGAATCCTGAGAGGCCAAAGGAAAGTTGGCCTAGATCTGTTTGGGGAGTCACAGAGGAGTAGTGTTTGAATTCAAACATAAAGAAGGTTTAGGCATTCATTAGCCAGGTGGACAAGATGGGGAGTTGGCAGGGGTGGGATTAGTAGGCGAGGGGCAGACAGCTCAGATGGAAGGCTTGGGGTTAGAAGAGGCACAGGCACATGAGAAAGCAGCATACTTAAGGAAAGGCAAGGTGATCGTGATGCCTGTGTAGGACATGCTGAGAGAATAACAATAGTAGGAGTAGACACTAGTCAGGTGGACGGAGACCAGATTTTGCCTCACTGAGGAGTTTGGAATTCGTCCTGTTAGCAGTGGGGAGTCTCCGAAGTATTTTAATCAGGGGAATTATAAGACTGGATTGTGGGTTAGACTTTGGTAGTCGAGTGGAGGGAGCATTGGAAACACAAAGAGATTGTAGGTGATCTGGTGGGGACTCGTGTCTGATTCATCTTTGTATTTCTCAAGTGTGTTTAGCACAGTGCCGGGTACATCATGGCTTACATTCAAACTGGATTATTTGTTCAAGAAGTGAAAGAAAGTGAGGTGCCCGCTTTTGGACTAGAATACAAATAGAAGGGTATGCCAGCTTTAAAATTCATACTTCACCTGTGTTACTCAGATCACACAAATAGAGGGCATTTTCCAGCTTCCGGAACCTGTCTATCCACGTCTCACATTCTTCCAACTCGTTCTTCATGGCTGGACTCAGGGAAGGCTCGGAGACTGGTCTGATCTTCAAAGAGCCCAGGTGATCTTTTGGAGCTGAAGTTTCAGCAGGAGGGTTTTCTGGCTGCAGCTCTTCTTCTGGAGTTTTCTAACAAAACAATACAATCATCTCATTGGCAACACATTCACCACCCAGAGCTTCTTCAGTCTCTTGGTCAAAGATAAGGCCACACAACTAGCAAGAATTATTGCAAGGACTGACTTTGGGAAGCCAGAGAAGTGAGTCTCACATCCTCAGCGCCATCAGGCCATATTGCCAAGTCTTGCTGGAAACAAACATGTTAAATTTGTGTGTGTGTATGTTTAAGAGAAGGGTGATATCATGACTTCTTATACACCTTCATTTCTGAGTTGCACGAAACAAAGGACGTTGTAACTGATGGAAACTTTCCACGATGTTCTACTTTATTTCGCACTAGTGAAATCTGCAGGGGATAGACTTTGGGAAATGCTTATAACAATCTCTGGATCATGAATGCGAGGTTCATGAGATCATGAAGGTGACTGAAATAGTAGTGATAATCTCAAGCTTGAGGGAACATTTTAAAGGATGTTAAAGCACGTGTAGTCTGCTTGTCCTGTGCATTTAGCAAAGGAAGAGGAGGCCTAGAAAGTGTGAGTGATTTACTAAGATCACATAGATCTTATGGTAGACCCAAGGCAAGAATAGGACATGGAGGGTATGTCTAGCTCATATTGGTATCCGGACCTCATGTCCAGTATAAAATAGAGATGTTTTAGAAGTAAATAGACACAAGTTCCTGCAGTACCATATGAGGTATCCTGCCACTTAGCATGTGGTGCTAGTGCACATCTACTGTTTGATCTGCCCAGCACCATTCTTGTAGGAATTGCCCCTCCTGCCAGTCTGCATGGTTGTAGAGAGAACTGCTATGTTCTATTTGCATAGCTTAGGACTGGGCAGCTAATGCAAAATGAGCCAATAAACGCATTGTCCAGAAATTTTGGAATTATTTATGAGGGAAAAATGGAGATGGTTCTGTGTGAGAGATTGGAACTCTAGCAGGCTTTCCGCTCTGTGTAATGGAAATGAGAAAAAATTTGTTGCTGAGGAGGATAGAAAGATAGATAGATAAATAGATAAATAAGAGACAGACAGACAGGCAGAAAATATGAAGCTGACAACAGAAACAAGAGAAAGGAAATAGGAAGTCTTGATGGTATTAAGAGTCTCTGGTTTTACTTCATTGTTTCATTTCTGTCCTTGGGTAGCATAATATGCTTCACTATCCTTCCAATAAATTAAGCTAGTAGAGTTGGTTCTGTTCATTGCAATATACATATTCCTAACTAATTCACCATAAAATTATGTCTCTGACTTTTGTATACCATCTGTACACCCCCAACTTTCAAATGTCTGAATTTTTTCCGTTTTGTACCTTTGTCTCAAACTTTTCACATATAAGCTGTAAAAATCCCAGCACCCTGAAGAACAGTAAGCTCAGTAAGAAGCCAAGTTCTGAGCTGGTTAACAAACATGGATTAAGCTGCTGCTGGGGAATGTAAGGAATTCTTCTGTTTGAAATAATGGAATGCTATCTTAAATTGTACCCACATGGATAACAAACAACTGGTAAATTTTAAGGGAGTCATATAAAAATAATCTGACTTTTTAGTAGAATTGAAGACATCAATTTTGGGAAAAACAGAATGACTTTATGTAGTAAATTAGAATAGTGATTCTTATACTTTTTAAAAGAGCTTTGGACAACTTTAGAAAGCTGATGAAAGCTTTAGAAAATCTGACCAGACTAATGTACATGTGCATACATTTTAGAGAAATCACAGGTATCCTTGGATCTGCAAAATTAAGTTTAAGTAGTTTAATATTTCTTCAGATAACTTAACACTCTTTGACCACTCAAGGCAAGGGAGCAGGGAGATTTGTATATGCCTGAATTAGGTTCAAATAAGTAGCTAAGTAACGAACATACCCTATACTATTTTGGTCTCACTGTGTCAGGATGAAGTTTACATTTCTTACTTGGCACACAAAAACATTTATGTTCTTGTCCCCATTGTTTATCTCTACAGTTTACCTTCTTTCTGTCCTACATATACATCTTTTTTTTCAGCTACACAAACCCTGAAAAAATGCAGCTGTTTTATGTCTTTTTGCCTTTATAATGCTGTTACCCCTATTCCAAAAGCCCTTCTTGCCACCTCTGCCTTGACTGCGTTTCTACTCATTTTTCCAGACCCAGCTCATAGTTTAACTTCTTGTGGGAAGTCTTCCTTGACAGCCCCAGGCCGGATGAGAGGAGATTCTTTGTAGCCCCATTACCCATCCATCACAGCACTTATCACTGGATATGCTATTTGTCTGTTTGAGCATCTTTTCTACCAGAGATCCAGAGGCTGGGATAGCTATTTATGTATCCTCAAGTTCTGGTTAGTGGCTGGCATGTGGTAGGTTCTCAAGACATGTTTACCGAATGAATAAGTGATTTTCTCAGGGATAATAAGAAAGTTGCTTTACCAACCCTCAGCTTCAATTCCCCTTTCTAAAAGTGGAACAATGAATTCTGTTTATACGGGAGCGTGAGAAGAATCAATTATTGCAGACATGCAATAAAATCCTTAAACAACAGGCAAAATAAAAGAGCAAAGTGTATTTTTTATAATCTTATTCACAACAGACTTAACACAAGGAGAACAGCATTTGCTGTTGTTTCTTGCATGGTAAGAGGCTTGCCAAAATTGATACTATTTTCTAAAATATTTCAACGTGTGAAGTGCATGAAGAGGCCTCCCGTCATTTTAAGATGAATTATGTTCTAATCCGGGCATTTAAAAAACAACAACAGAAAAACTCAGGCTGTTTTTCAATTCTGTCTCTAACTTCTGCTGGCTAAATGCTGGGAATATTAAAACGAATTTTAACTGCTTGCCAGATTTTTCTTTTTCTTTTTTTCCTCTTCTTCTTCTTCTTTTTTTTTTGTTTTGTTTAAATCACAGGGTCTAATACATTCTAAAATGTGATGTCTGGGGAAAGGTCACCCTCAGTTTCTGGAAGATGGAATTATGATGTTAAAATAGGTCTCATAACCACTCTTTATTCTGATGGCAGTTGGTAGATCTGTCACAAGCTTTGGAAGGACACCCAAGCACATGCTACAAATCCAGTTTCTTGGGGTAGGTGGCAAGCCGATCACCAAGTGATGGCAAGAGGTTTCTGCATATCAGCTAGGATAGGAACTCCTGCACCATAAGAGTTCGTTTTCCTTTTTTCTCTGCCTGAGGAGAGTCTTGAAGCCAAGGGAGTTTGAATTCCAGTTGTGGGTGAAAAAACAAAACAAAACAAAAAAACCCACAGGGAGAGGGCTCCACCCAGAAGGACCCCATCCAGCATCAGAAAAGAGAAGACCAAGGATCTGTGAAACCCTTCCCCAAACTGTACATTCCAGGAGCCTACCATATGTTCAGTTTTGCTTTGAGATAGCTCAGGGACTTCAGGTTGCACTGGAGTCACAGGGGCTTCCTTTTCATTCTGTCCTGAACAAGAAAGAAAAAAATGGAAGGGTTTAGTTTGGTCTCTCCATTCAACACATCTGTATATGCCAGGGAAAAAAAATGTTGAGGCTTTTCTCTGTGGTTGACACTGTTGTTGGGGAATGGGGACGCACTGATAAATAAGAAAAATCTGATTCTTACCCTGGTGTACCTCAGATTGGGAAGTGCTAAATAATGACTCGAAATTGTTATTTAGTTACAAGCCACTATACGTACTACAATAGAAAAATATGAGGGACTAGGAAAGCATTTAAACTTATTAGGGGGTAGAGGTGGCAGTAGGAGGGGTCTAGGAGGAGGTGACACAAACTGGAGACCCAAAGGACGAATAGGAGGTTACGGTGGTGAGGTGCATGGGGAAGAGAATTCCAGATAAGCAGAGACAATGGCCTTTAGCAAGGTCCTGAATCAGAAAGACCTTTAGAGCTTAGTGAGGGGGACGGGGCCTCTTCCTGTAGCCCTACCTCTCAAGAACTCCTGCCCCCTCTCCACACACGTGCCCGAAGGATCAGGTGCAACCTTTCTCTTCCTCAATCCTTGCTCATTTCAATGGTCAGTAGGTCCTGTATGAGAAGAGGCTTGAACAGCATCATTCCTAACCCAGTGGTTTCCATTTTCCAGGTGCTACCTGCTGTAAGCTACTGCCTTCGTGAATAGAAGAGATTCACTTAGGATGCAGGAAAGAAAATGAAGACTTGTGGAGATCCCCCAAGGATTGCTGTATCGTTCTTTCATTACTCAGCATCTTACACCTGACTTGGTCACTTTATCTATCTATCTATCTATCTATCTATCTATCTATCTATCTATCTATCTATCTATTTATTTTGCAAGTCCCTGTTAGGACCACACAGCACAGATTTCTGGGAACCTCAGTGTCAGTATTCAGTGCATAGTTTAAATATGCCATTAACAAATATGTAAATTATTTCTGAGTTGGGTCTCACTATTTTCAATAAAAATTATTTAATAACTAAATTTTACACGAGGAGGCACTGTAACGTAGTTGTTGAGAATGTAAGTTCGGAAGCAAGGCACCTTGGATTTGCATCCCGGATCTTTTCTTTCTTAGCTGTATGGGCTTGGGCAAGTTACTTGTCTTCTCTGTACCTCAGTTTCCTCTTCTGTGAAATGGGGATAATGACAGCTATAGGCTATCAAAAGGATTATTATTATAATGGAATAGAAAGTGTAAAGCAAGTACCTGGAATATGGCAAGTGCTTAATAAATATTAACTAATAATGTTATCTAAGTGAAGATGTTTTTGTAAACAAATTCGCATATCAGATTTAAAAGCCTTTGGTTGGACAGGCTTTTAGTACTGCACTTATGAGTCATTATGAACCTTTTTCCTCAGTTTCTTGATGGAGAATATAATATGATTTCATAATCTCTGAAGCCTTAGTACCCAGCATTAGGATAAAATACTCAATGCATGTTTGTTGAATAAGTGAATGACCATGTACCCTAACGTAGAGTCTGAAAAATACAGTCACTGAATACATAGTTTTGTTTCTCCAATTCCTTTTCCAATCCTTGGAGACGAGAGATTTTTCTTCGTATTTCTTTATCCTTCCATATTTGTCCCAGATGCTCCATAGAGTAAACCTTAATAGGTGCTTAACGAGGGTCATGATGGCACATGGAGCAGCCCCTTCAAGGCAGATCTTATTGATCTGCTGGACATTTATTTTATTTTATCTTATTTTTGAGTCTCATTCTGTCGCCCAGGCTAGAGTGCAGTGGCATGCTCACGGCCACCCCACCGTTGACCTGCTGGGCTCCGGCGATCCTTCCGCCTCAGCCATCCAAGGAGCCGGAACTACAGGTGTGTGCTACCATGCCCGGCTAATTTTTTTGACTTATTGTAGAGATGAGGTCTCGCCAAGTTGCCCAGGCTGGTCTCGAACCCGCAGGATCAGGCAGTCCACTCACCTTGGCCTCCCAAAGTGTGAGGATCACAGGCTGAGCCACCAAGCCCGGCTGATATGCTGAACATTTAAATTGCCATGAGAACCCATCATCACCTAGTAGCACTGGCCACTGCTTATTTCACCCAGTATGGGAAAGAAAAGCTTTCTGTTTATTGCAGGGGAAAACGTGGTTCAACTTACTCTGAATCATAGAGCTCTTCAGTTAAAGGGATTCTGGAAACAGCATATAGGTAGGGTAAGAGGAGGGAGATGAACTTTGGTGCCAGACAGACCTGAAGCCTAACCCTGATTCTTCCCTTTACCAGTTACAAGCTTTCACATCCCAATTCTTTCATTTGTGAAATCACAGCAATTTGCCATAATAATGTGGAGATAAAAAGAATTACCTATATAAAAATACTCAACACAGGAAAGATGCTCAATACAAAGTATTATTATTATTACTAATTTTTTTTGAGTCAGAGTCTCACTCTGCCACCCAGGCTGGTGTGCAGTGGCATGCTCAAGGCCACCACAGCCTCGACCTGCTGGGCTCAGGTGATCCTTCCTCCTCATCCTTCTAAGTAACTGGAACCACAGGTGCATGCCACCATGCTCGGCTAAGTTTTTGATTTATTGTAGAGATAAGGTCTCACCATGTTGCTCAGACTGGTCTCGAACCCTTGAGCTCAGGTAATTCTCTTGCCTCCACTTCCCAAAGTGCTAGGATTTCAGGCTTGAGGCACCATGCCCAGCTACAAGGTATTATTATTTGTGTTGTGTTTTTATTATTATAGACTGTTAAACGAACGTAGTTTCCCCAAAGAAGAGAATCTAACATTAATCACGATTTAGCAGGCATTTTTCTTTTCTTTTTTTTTTGAGTTGAAGTCTCACTCTGTCTCCCAGACTGGAGTTCAGTGGCTGCTCCCGGCCACCGCAGCCTCGACCTGCTGGGCTCCGGCCATCCTTCTGCCTCAGCCTTCCAAGTAGCTGGAACTACAGGTGCGCGCTATCATGCCCGGCTAAGTTTTGATTTATTGTAGAGATGAGGTCTCACCAAGTTGCCCAGGTGGGTCTCGAACCTGCGGGCTCAGGCAATTCACTCACCTCAGCCTCCCAAAGGCGCAGGATTACAGGCTGAGCCACCAAGCCCAGCCTAGCAGGCATTTTTCTGTGCACCGTTTAATGCATTATCCTTTTAAGAATAAGATCTAGAACCTAGACTTTGTCCTAGTCCAGTTTCTCTTTACTGTCTGCACTTCTAAAACTTCCATTAGGAGAAAATACATGCTAGCTTATTTGGTCTCTTTTAAACTTCCCTTTCTCCTTCCTTATACCTAATAGCACATAAAAAGGTAATGGCTTGCACATGTAAAAATTGTTTGAAAAACCTGAGGCAGAGCTCTTTTTTTTTTTCCTTTCTAACACAGCAAGAAGGAGAAATAATAACCATCTGTCTAGTCAGTCAGTTGAAGATTTGTACTGGAGGAAATAAGCCAAGCTGGCTTCTAGAGATTTCCAGGTGTCCGAGGGCCCAGATTTTATAAGGCTTCCAGTGGATTCTAATAGTTACAACAGCCAGCACTCCTGTCTGCCCCACTAATGACTTAAAATCAGTGGTCTTTAGCATTGGCTGCATGTTAGACCCAGCTGGGCAAATTTAAAAGTTACCAATACTCAGGTATCATACCAGACCAATTAAATCAGAATATCAGGGGGTGAGAACCCAACTCAGTATTTAAAAAAAAAAAAGAAAAATTTCCCTAGGTGATTCCAATGTGAAGCCAGACTAGAGAACGACTGATGTAAATAAAAGTTGCTGGTTTTTACTGGGCCTACTGAATGAAGCTTTTGTGAGAAGGAAACTAATGTATGTCAAATATCTGTAAGTGCCAGGCATTTCTATGTAATCTATAATCCTGTGAGGTAGAAATTATCCCCATTTGATAGATGAGGAAACTGAGGCAATGAAAGTTTTAGTTACCTGCTTAAGACAACAGACATGGGGTTAAGGCTGTGATTCTAACTCATTCATTGATTTCACAAACATTTGTTGAGTGCTTACTATGTCCTAGGCACTGAAAGATGGTTTTTCTTCTCATGGAGTGTGCATTCTAGCGGTGAGCACAGACAGCTAGATAAAATAATGTCAGGTTCTGATAAGTATTATACACACAAGTAAATAAAACTAAAACCACTTATGGGCGTGGAATGTCATGGTAGTTCCCATTTTAGATAGGTAGTTCACCAAAGCCCTCTTCAAAGAGGTGACATTTAAATAAAATCCTGAGTGGAGAACAAGGATGCGAGCCATAAAAATGTGTGGAGAAAGAACATGAAAAAATGTTACAGCCAAGACTAAGGATGTGAGACAGGAGTGTTTGGTGCGTTCAAGCGATGGCTGACAGGAGGACCTAGCTGAGGCAGAATGAAAAGGGAAGAGATGTAGGTGAAGTGTTCACGCAACTGAAAGGCCTTGTGGACCATGCCATGTGACTGAAGTGGATTTTTTTTTCTTCCCAGCATTCATTTTTTGTCTCGTGATTCTCCCCTTTGTGATCCCCTCCCAATTATAACAACCAGATTTTGCTTTGTGGAGAATACTTCTCCCCCATCCCAGTGCACTGTGGTTTGTTGGGACTGACCCTCCAGGCCTAGTCCAAGCTTAGTGTTTGATTAGTTTAAGCCCATCATGGAATCCCAATCATAGTCTTGGTTCAAAGATGGACATAAAACTCAGTCTGAGCCTCATATGAGAGGAGATATTTTATACAGTTTCTTAGATAGTAAAGTTATTTCCTGCTTGCCCAGTCCTACCAAAAGAGAGTGCTGTAATGATGTGATGATCATAGCTACCCTAGCTATCTTGCTTTTGCATTTTGCCCAACGTTGGGAGACCACCATGTAGAGCCGGAAGATGAAGCCAACACAAGGCAAAGCAGAGAGCCAGAAAGAAAGTAGATTCTTGATTTTTGACATTTGAATGGCTAGATCAAACCATGCCTGTAGCCCTTGTTGCTGCCAGACTTTTCAGCTGAATAAACCAGCCTCTTTATTATCTTAGCCAATTGATTTGGCTTTTCTGTCCCTTCACGATAAGCAGTTCTAATTAATAATTAATAAAATTTTTTTAACAAAAAGGACAACTCCACCATTTCTCTGTGTTTTCTTGAGTAAAAACCCTTCAAGAAATGTTTGAGAGGAAATCAATGAACCTCTGAGGTTACCCTTTGTTCCCTTTAAATGTTCCCCCATCAGCAGCCATGCTGGAGCTCTGCTCTTTATTTTCTGCTTCTGCTTCTTCCTCTCCCTCATTCACAGGCTCCACAGTGAAGTGATTCACATTTGGGGTCATACTTCATTTTTGTGAAATGCTACTTTCAATTTTAGACCATAGCATGTTTGGAGAGCCTAAACTCTTCTGTATTTGTCTGAGTAACTGGGATGGATTTAGAGTCTATCACACTCAGTGATCTATCACATAAACAAAGAACTGAGTACCACATGTTCTCACTTATAAGCATTTATCATAATACTATAAGAAAGGGTTTGTCAGTAGTGAGATGCTGCCTGGGGATGGAGGGGGTCACATAACATCAGTAAGGGTACCTGATCTCAAACCTGGCAAAGTGGGGACAAAATGGAGGCCCAAATTTTACCAGTATGATGACCACTTATCTACCTAATCCTGAATTGTATATCCCATAAAGTAAATTTTTTAAAGTAAAAAATTAGATCAGGCTCGGTGGCTCAGCCTGTAATCCCAGCACTTTGGGAGGCCAAGGCTAGAGGATTGCCTGAGCTCAGGGGTTTGAGACCAGACTGGACAACTTGGTGAGACCACGTCTCTACATTATGTCAAAAAAATAGCTGGGCATGGTGGCGCATGACTGTAGTTCTGGCTACTGGGAAGGCTGAGGTGGAAGGACTACCAGAGCCCAGCAGGTCGAGGCTGTGGTGGCCATGAGTGTGCCACTGCACTCCAGCCTGGGCATCAGAGTGAGACTACAGCTAAAAAAAACAACAAAAAAAATTTAAATTTAAATTTAAAAAAGAGAGTTCATAGTATTTGTTGGATCTGTGGCTTGAAGTCTTTTATCACTTTGCAAAATTTCTCAGACATTATTGCTTCAAATATTGTTTTAGCTATATTTTCTTTCTCTTGTTTTTCTGCAACTTCAGCTACATGTATATTGGATATTGTCACCATTTCCCGTATGTCTCTTATACACTTTAAAATATATTACATTCTTATTTCTCATCCATGCTTCAATCTGGATATTTTCTACTGCACTATAATACAGACCACTAGTCCTCTCTTCAATTTTGTCCAGTCTACTTTTATACCTATCTATTGAGGTTTTAAAATTCAGTTTTTGTATTTTTAAATCTAGATATTACATTTTATTCCTTTTATAGGTTCAATTTTTTTTGCTAAAAAAGCTTTTTGTCAGTTGGGTTCGGTGGCTCAGCCTATAATCCAAGCACTACTGGAGGCCGAGATGAGTGGATTGCCTGAGCCCACGGGCTTGAGATCAGTCCGGGCAACTTGCTGAGACCTCATTTCTACAATTAAAAAAAAAAAAATTACAGGTGTGCATGCCTGTAGTTCCAGCTACTTGGAAGGCTGAGGCAGAAGGAATGCCGGAGCTCAGCAGGCCAATGCTGGGGTGGCCATGAGTGTGTCATTGCACTCCAGCCTGGGCGACGGAGTGAGACTCCAACTCAAAAAAAAAAGATTTTTGTCATCATTTTCTTGAACATATTGATTACAGTTACTTAGAAATCCATGTCCTGTTTTGTATCATTACTGGTAGTTTTTAATCAAAGCAGGACATAGTGTGTGGAAATTTAGAGATTTTGTATGATGTTACCTTTCCCGCAGATATATTTTCCCCCCTTTCTCTGGTAGTTCAAATGAAATTCCAAATAAGAGATTTCAAACAAATAGTCTTCAACAAATATTCTTTTCCTTTTTAGCTAGTCTTCTAATTGTTCTTGCCAAGAGGTTTGGTCAGCTGGAAATCAGTCTGTTCTTGTCCTTAGTGTGAGGCACAGGTACTATTTATGTGAAGTCATTTAAATTCCAAATGAGATAAATTTTATTATAAAGGCAGTATATACAAAACGAGCCATTGTTATCAGGTTATAATAGCATCTTTAAGTACAAAGGGGTCTCAGGTAGGAAAAAATTCACAATTCTACACACCCATAGAAAGTACTTCCTTCAGTTTCTGTATAAAGCCTCCCCTTCCTTTTCATAACATTTACCTATGGAACTAAAGAATAGGCAGATAAAATGGCTCACTTAGTGCTTAAGAGCATTTAATTATCTTAGATCCCGCAGGACAGACATGGGAAAAGACCAAAGCATTAACTTTCTCAGCAAGCCACAGGCTATCACAACAGCAGCATTACCACAACAACCCTGTTATTTTGGAGAGGGACATATTGCCTAAAACAGTTAGTGATGCATTGCCTGTTTTGTTTGTCAGACTCACAATCACCCTGTAAGACCAAGATGGCAGGTTTCTCTTTATTTGAAGTCCATTTTAGGAATGCGAAAAGTGAGTCAGAGTTACGTAAAATAAGTGTCCCAATATAAGGTGATTATTTAGTTGCAAAAGTGAGACTTCAATCTATATTTTTACATATTTTTCTTCTATGCCATATGCTATGAGATGGTGATACTCCCCCCCCCCCCAATTTATATGTTGAAGCCTTTAACCCCTGGTACATCAAAATGTGACTGTACTTGGAGACAGGGCCTTTAAAGAGGTAAGTTAAAATGAGGTTGTTGAAGTAGGCTCTAATTCAATCTGACTGGTGTCCTCTAAGAAGAGGAAATTTGGATACGCAGAGACACCAGAGATGCACACGCACAGAGGAAAGACCATGTGAAGATATTTCAATGTCTGTCCAGTACCAGAAAAGAGCTACTGCTATAATGTTTTTCAACACTCTCAGCACTAGCATATGTGAAATCACAGAGGTCAGACGAACAGTCACATGACATCCCCTCAGTGGTCTCAGCATTGACCACATGGTACTTTGTAAGAGAACCCAACACAACTACCTTCTCAGAGATCTGAGTCTTAAACTGTGTGGTGCTCCAAGAACCAGCTGTGTGGCATCTCCTGAAATCCTTTCTCCAGCTGCTCGGCACTTTTTTTTTTTTTCCTGAGATTCTAGAACCATCTGTGTAGAGGCACTACCTCCTAGATGCTGTATTCCGATAATGGTATCCTTCTCTCTCTGTTCCCTTAGCCTGGAGAAAAGTAGCTGCTTCCATCTTTCTTAGTGGTGTCTGGACTACCTCACGCTAGTGGATTGAATTGTGTCCTAAACACTGGTACCTGTGAATATGGCCTTAATTGGAAACAGGGTATTTTATCATGTAATCAATTTAAGATGATATCATTCTAGATTAGGGTGGGCCCTGCATCCACTGACTGTGTTTTTATAAGAGAAAGAAGAATATTTGGATACAGAGACAAGTAAGAGTCATAAAGAAGAAGGATATGTGAAAACAAAGGAAGAGTTTAGAGTTATACAGTAATAGGCCAGGAGAAGGTTGGAGCTAGTAGAAGTTGAAAAGGGCAAGAAAGAACTCTTCTCCAGAGTGCTCAGAGGGAGTATGGCTCTGTTGATACCTTGGTTTTATATTTCTAGAACTGTGAGAGAATAAATTTCTATTGTTTTAAGCCACCAAGATTATGGTAATTTGTTATGGCAGCAATGGAAAATCACCATCTCCTTTTTGATCTTTCAGCCTTTTGATACTTGTATAACCAGTCCCCTGTAGTGAATTTCCTCTGTTTGAAATGCCTAGTAAGGTTTCTAGTTTTCCACTTGGATACAGACTGATATATCCATCCCTCAACACAGACACACACACACACACACACACCACACACACACACACACACACACACTCACACTCTCTCTCTCTCTCTCTCTCTCTCTCTCTCTCTCTCTCACATTCTTAATACCTTGTATTTTGATCCAAGGGGTAAACAATAAGTGACTGATGGATATAGTAAACAGAAACACTACAACAGCAGATTAATGTCAATGCATATTTTTTCACTTGTCATATTTAAAACTTGTTAATTGCTAAATATTTAGCCCAATTTATCTTTATAATTCCACTTAATAATATGTCTTGGAAATCTTCCTGTAGCAGCCCAGCCATGCTATTTTACAACTGTATAGTTTTATCAAATGGTTGTACTGTAATTTAATTAAATGGTCCACAAAAGATCTTTTTGTTAATTACATTTTTAAAAACCATTTACAAAAATGCTGCACATATATATGTGTATAGTATATGTATGTACATATATCTCAGAGGTTTTTGTCGTTGCTGAGATGTCAGTAGAATAAATACCCAGCTGTTAGGTTCCTAGATCTAAGGGACTGTACTGAAATTCTAATAAATAATGTCAACTTCTTCTGCAAGTGAGTTGCATTCATCTTTTTTTTTTTTTTTTTTTGAGTTGGAGTCTCACTCTGTCGCCCAGACTGGAGTGCAGTGGCCGCTTCCGGCCACCACAGCCTCGGCCTGCTGGGCTCCGGCGATCCTTCCGCCTCAGCCTTCCGAGTAGCCGGAATGACAGGCACGCGCTACCACGCCCGGCTGATTTTTTGATTTATTGTAGAGATGAGGTCTCGCTGCCCAGGCGGGTCTCGAACCAGCGGGCTCAGGCAATCCACTCACCTCAGCTTCCCAAAGGCGCGGGATTACAGGCTGAGCCACCGAGCCCGGCTTGCATTCATCTTTAAGGGCTACCACTAGAGAATTCCTCATGATAAAATAAAACGTGGAGAATCATGCCTTTTATAATCTAACTGGCCTAAAAGAATAACCATTAAGGTAATTCTCACTCCTTTTTTTTCTTCTCTAGAAAGCCATTTACATTTCTGGGAGAAATGAGATGAAACTGAACAGACAATCTTTTCAAGCTAAGCAACACAGTCAACAACAGCTCTGGGAAATGGAAGATACTCAGGAGCAACAAAATAATGAAACTCACCTGTAGACAACAAGTCAGAGGAAGCTCTGCTCAGCATCTCAACGAAATTCTGCCATCTGTGCAAGAAAAGGAAGCATAATTTTAGTGATCAATATAATTGCCCCAAAAGAATGTCCAGTGAAGCTTTAAGTTTATATTGGTAGTGATACTGAAGAAGATTTTATAATTTTTTAATTTTTTTTTTGAGTTGGAGTCACACTCTGTCACCCAAGCTGGAGTGCAGTGACTGCTCCCGGCCCATGTAACCTCGACCTGCTGGGCTCCAGCAATCCTTCCGCCTCAGCCTTCCGAGTAGCCGGAATTACAGACATGCACTACCACACCCGGCTGATCTTTTGATTTATTGTAGAGATGAGGTCTCGCTGCCCAGGTGGGTCTCAAACCCGCGGTCTCAGGCAATCCACTCACCTCAGCCTCCCAAAGTGCGGGATTACAGGCTGAGCCACCAAGCCAGGCTGAAGAAGATTTTTTGATACCCATATCATTTAGGGTTCAATGCAGGAAACAGAAACGACTTTACATATCTTTATTAGAAAGAGCTTTGATATAGGGAATTATTGAAAGGCTATTAGGACAGAGGTTGGGGTGTGTTGCTAGACTCAGAGTGAGGCCTCAGCAGATGTGGTCCAGAGATCAAGGCATTGTAGAAAAATCTGACTGATGTCTGTTTCCCCTAGCCATGAATTTGTGACTAGGCAGTACCAAGTGTTTTTGGCTATGGAAATAACAAATGCTTGCTAGTTTCTGCTGCTGTGGGAAAATAAATAAAAGCATAAACTGCCTCTGTCTCACTGGTCTGCCATCCCTGCTTCTGCTTTTCAAATCTCATACAGCTGCACTTGACTGATAGAACTTAAATCAGTTCTAGAACTTAGTAGCAAGGGAATTTCAGAAATGTTCTTTTTAAACCTTCACAAATATGGAAAATATTGAAGCATAGAAGAGAACGTAGAAGAGGATAAACATGGGCACTGAGTATAAGTAGACAATATTTAGTGAATTACCCAAGCAGAAATTGTATTGAGCAATATGTCTGCAAATGACAACCAGGTAGTCATGTAAAAAATACTTTAGTAAAGCTTTGGTAGTGAAAATAACTTATATTTGCATGTATAGCATTAATCCTCCAATTACATATAAATATGCCCTTCTCTGGGGTAACAGCTACAAGTTTCCTTTTGGATACAGTGTAGATGGGACTATGAAAAAAAAATTCCATATCCTGACCTAGCCAATATTGTGACCTGCTTTGTCCAATTAATCTCAATCCATCTATCCCTCTTCTCTCCCTCCCTTCCTCCTTCCCATTCTTCTTCCCTCCCGGCCTTCCTACCTCTCTTCCACTCTTTGTCTCTATATCTGTCTTAAGTTATAGTTCTGGTACTTCCCGAAATTATATTTTCCCCCAATTCTGTGAGTTTCTTTATATCCTTTCAAAATGTTCTTGCTTGTGTTAGCAAAAGAGTTTCTGTTGCTAGCAACCTACATTGCAACTGATAAGTATTTTTATCTCTGTCTTGTCTATCAGAAGGAGTCAAGCAAAAACAAAAAGCAGATTGTAAAATATATGCCCTGGACTTTCTGGAGGAGTTCTAATGTCATATGAATTTATTCTCTTTAAGTAAAAATGTTGTGTTATGCGGATTACTTTCCAATTGATTTCAGTAGAGGACATGGCTTCTTATATTTTATAGACAGCCACAGTAGTTTTCTAAATTCTTCCTAGTTTCCAGAGTAGATGATTTTCAAAGGTTTGTTGAGATTTGGAGTCTGGAAATTGTGAGTTCCTTTCCATGTTCTGCAGTCTTTTTTAAAAATTAGGCGTTGTATGTCATTGAGTATTCTCTTTACTCAGTTCCACATCAGGATTTGCTCACATCTGGCACAACCCAATAGATAAGTTGTGTTGGTTTCCTTTCATCTTTCTCATTGCGCACTTAGAACTGTTGTAAAGGGCAGATGACAATTCCCATCCATTCCTGGCGCCTCTCAGGCCTTCACCTAGTACACCTTGGCAGAATGCGTGTGGGATCTTCCCACCACATTTGTTGGAAATAAGACACCCCATAATGATACAGCATGTAACAATCTATATGCTCCACAGTACATAGAACTACCAGGGACCTTCCTCTCTCTGTTCTAACCCCCACAACTTTATTTTCAAGAATTACATTTTACCATAGTCAAACACCTTCCCACCTTGCTCAGCCCAACTTTCTGCTCTGTCATTCTGGGAGTTCGGCTCTCTGAATAGGAACTGAAACGTGGTGTGTGGGTAAGTATACATGTGTTTATCCTTAGGTGGGGAGGGGAAGAGGAGAGGTGGGGAGCAATATTGCCCAGGCTAAACAAGAAAGCAGCACCTGTTTAATTTTCTGGTTGGTTAAGACTTGAAGTCTCCAAATCAAAAAAAAGACTGTGGAGAAGGGAACAAATATCTTCTGTCTTCCACACTTGTTAGGCGTGCAGGACAAAGCTTGGGGCAGACAACTCATTGATTTCCCACCTTTCATTTATTTATAGCTAGTGGAGAAGCCTTCTACATTCTGACACAAGTGCCTATTAGTCAGTTTTTGCCACTTGTGTTTTTTGCCCCTTTCTTTGTTTATAGGAATTACAGTCAGGGGTCATTAAGCAGGTGCCACTTTATACATAAAAATAAAACAAATCTAAACATACTAAACACTCAATAATTTATCAAAACACCCTTGTACTTTTTTGACTTTTTAAAATTTATTTTCTTTTATTTTTTATTATGATGTTGTGGGGTACAGTTAAGGGTTAGGTATACAATTACGTTTCATTCAGGCACCCTGTTGATATGAGGTGCTTCCCTGTTTCCAGACAGATATTTGCTACTGTTAATACCATCTCCCTCTCCTCCCATAGTTTCCCAGTACCGTCAGTCATTTTCTTATAGTACTGCATTGGATGTTCAAGGTCCATTATATGAGTGAGAACATGTGATACTCAGATCTTTGTTTCTGTGAGAGGTCACTCGGTATTATAGATTCTAGTTCCATCCAGGTTGCTGCAAAATTCATGATTTTGTTCGTTTTTATGGCTGCGTAGTATTCCATCATGTATATGTACCACATTTTTAGAAATCCAGTCCTCTTTTGATGGGCAGCATGGTTGTTTCCAGGTTCTTGCTATTGTGAACAATGCTGCAATAAACATACATGTGCAGGTATCTTTTTTATAGAGTGATTTGAGGTCTTCAGGATATATTCCCAGTAGGGGGATTGCAGGGTCATGTGGGAGGTTGGTATTTAGAGCTTTTAGGAATCGTCACACTGCTTTCCACAGAAGTTGCACTAGTTTACACTCTCACCAACAGTGTAGAAGTGTTCCCTTTTCACCACACCCTCTCCAGCAGCTGCTATTTTTTGAGTTGTTGATAACTGCCATTCTGACTGGAGTTAGGTGGTATCTCAGTGTGGTTTTGATTTGCATCTCCCTGATGATTAGTGAGGTAAAACATGTGTTTCTTCATGTGTTTGTTGGCTGCTTGGATGTCTTCCTTTGTTAAGTGTCTGTTCATATCTTTTGCCCATTTTATAATGGGGTTGTTTGTTTTTTTCTTTTTAGCATGTTTCAGTTCCTTGTAGATCCAGGGATGTTAAGCCTTTGTCAGACCTGGTGTTGGCAAATACTTTTTCCCAGTCTGTAGGCTGTCTCCCTGCTCTCTTGATGGTTTATTTGGCTTTGCAGAAGTTTGTCAGTTTAATAAGGTCCCATTTATCTATTTTCTCTCTTATGAGCTGTGGGGTTTTGGGTTTTGTTCAGGAATTGGATGCCAGTTCCAATTTCCATGAGGGTTTTTCCTTCATTTTCTAAGGTTCTTATGGTTTGAGGTTTTACATTTAGGTCTCTGATCCATTTGGAATTAACCTTTGTGCATGGGGATAGATAGGGGTCCTGTTTCAATCTTCTGCATGTGGTCAGCCAGTTTTCCCAGCACCATTTACTGAATAGGTTCTCCTCTCCCCAGTGGTAGGTGGTGGAGGCTTTGTCAAAGATGAGTTGGTTGAGAAATTGAGGTTTTGCTTCTGGGATCTCAATTCTATTCCATTGATCTATATGCCTGTTCCTATACCAATACCAAGCTGTTTTGATGATTGTAGCCTTATAGTAAAGTTTGAAGTCTGGTAGTGTGATACCACCTGCTTTGTTTTTTTTTTTGCTGAGGATTGTTCTGGCTATTCTTGGACATTTGTGTTTCCATATGAATTCCTGGATTGTTTTTTCTAGGTCTGAGAAGAATGTTGCTGGTAATTTGATGGGTATTGCATTGAATTTGTAGATTGCCTTAGGTAAGATGGACATCTTCACAATGTTGATTCTTCCGATCCATGAGCATGGGATATTTTTCCATTTGTTTGTGTCGTCTTTGATTTCTTTGAGCAGTGTTTTGTAATTTTCTTTGTAAAAGTCTTTTGCGTCTCTGGTTAGGAAGATGCCAAGGTATTTCATTTTTTTTGTGGCTATTGTGAATGGAATTGTGTTTTTTATTTGGGTTTCTGCTTGTTTATTATTGGTGTAGAGAAATGCGATTGTCTTTTGTACATTTATTTTGTATCCTGAGACTTTGCCAAAGGCCTTTATCAGTGTAAGGAGGATTTTGACAGATTCTCTTGGGTTTTCAAGGTACACAATCATGTCATCTGCAAAGAGAGATAACTTGACTTCCTCTTTTCCTATTTGGATACCCCTGATTGCCTTCTCTTCTCTGATTACTTGAGCCAGGACTTCCAATATTATGTTGAACAGGAGGGGAGAGAGTGGGCATCCTTGTCTAGTTCCAGTTTTCAGGGAAATTGGTTCCAATTTTTGTCCATTTAGGAGTATACTGGCTGTGAGTTTCTCGTAGATGGCTTTTACTATTTTGAGGTTTGTTCCTCGTATGCCTAGATATTCAAGGGTTTTTATCAAGAAGGGGTGCTGGATTTTATCAAAAGCTTTTTCTGCATCTAATGATATGATCATGTGGTTTTTGTTTTGACATCTGTTGATGTATTTAATTACATTTATGGTTTTACGAATGTTG